CGGTTCACCATCGACTCGTGCAACCGACTCTCAACAAGCACCACCGAGGAAATAACGAGCAGTGGTTATTGATCAGACACCTAAGCCTAATCCATCGATAGAGAAGAGTGCCACAACTAGATATAAAGTATCTTACTGCTGTACCTGAGCCCGAGCCAAAACAGGAGGAGACTCCGCCTATGAAGGAAGCCATCACTACTGTCCATCAATCAGCCTGAGTCGCTGGTCCTGTCCAGACTGTGCCTTCAAAGGAGAGTACATAGCAGTCGGGCCCATCCAAGCAGGCCTCATAGGGGCTTAGACTGATAGATGAGTCGTCGCCACCTCCCTCGCCCGCACCTACCCCAGCCGACACTCAACCAACGGCTGATATAGTTGAACCCGCCATCGATCTTGTCCCGATAACTTCCCCAACGCTCACGGTATTCAATTCAATTCATGGGCTCAGGCGAACTGTTATGAGTGTTTGACGGGGCGGAAGATTGTCCCTACCATATATGTTGATGAGTTTCTGTTGAAAACTCTAGGGTTGCACGATGATGTGATGCAGATGCTTCATGTTATGGGGTAGAGAAAGGTGATGATAGAAATTGGTCAGTGTTAGCAGACCTAACACTTGATTTTCTCAGCACCTTTCGAAAGAAGACTGAGGATATGTTGGAGATTCAGTTGGGGAATCGAGTGTTCGAGTGGAGCTATGCCGAGTTTGCGGACGCATTAGGGGCATGATGCTCCTACATATAGCTCGTTGAAGATTGAGAATGATGCTTGAAGCGAGTTCGCCACAACGAGAGTCGGAACACGCAACACATCCATCCGTAATCCAGTTATCCGCTATGTCCAACGAATGATGGTGTATTTATCAACCGGCCAGAGCTCGAATAAAAACATAGTGGATAGCGGCAAGATCTGACGGATATGAGGCATGCTTCATGGCCACACAATGCACTCGGCCGACCATTACATCGAGACACTGCTCGTCGTAGCTGGTCGAAACGACGAGATAGCTCTGGGAGGTTTGGTAACGTGTATTACCGAGCATGTCGAGGTGGAGTTGCGAGGACGAGTGACGATTAGACAGGTTTTGATGTTAGACGCAAGCTTGTTGGGGCCGGGGATGTTAGATCTAACAATGCATATTTTTGGCGGGTCACCTTAGCCGAACACATTTCCTTGCCGAACCCTGAGTACACGACGATATGTGTCGGCCGTAATATCAAGATGGACCACCCTGACGATGCTCCAGGTTGTAGCTCAGCTCCTAAACATTCCAAATTCGAGTCATGGGAACATCTCACGTGTGGAAGACCAGTTGTGTAGACGAGTCCATGAGCTTGAGGAGGAGAACCTGAGGCTAGAGACGGATAATAAGGGGTTGGAGCTGGAGAATGGCGAGCTGAAGGAGCAGGCTATGTTACCTGGACTCGCCACTTGCCGCCGGCGTACCCGTGTCGACACAACATGACACGAATACCGGTACAAAATCTAGCTCTGATCTAGTCAAAAGAGGTCGAATACGTTGACCACGGACTACTGTCAGGTTTGACGCTCGGCGGTAAAAAATGTGATGGGAGAAGGCTGACGGACATCTGAAGTTGGAAGGGCAAAAACAAATTTGAAGTTGGATTGGATTTGAAGGTGGATAGGCAAGAAGGGATCTGAAGGAGAAGACGAAGCACCGGAGAAGACGATAAAACACGTGAGGCTTTTGAAAGACTTTTTTTTTCTCTCTTTACTTTTGTGACAGCTGACGGGTAGCTTTTGATAGGCTTTACGTTTTTTTTTTTCTTTCTGTTCTTTTAAATGAATGTCGTTGTGTACATGTACCTGTGGGCCTTGTAGTTGTATGAACATAATAAATTAACTTTTTTTAATTGAATGGCTTTTAATTGAATGTGGCTTTTAATGTAAATTGGCTTTTGGGATAGTGTAATTTTAATTGAATGTTAATGAATGTAGCGGTTGTATATAATTTTAAATGGATACTGATTAAGTTAATTAAGCCAAAATTCAAATAATTAATTATATTCTAATTAATCCAAAATTCAAATGATTAATTATGTACATTGTATATAGGGCTTTTTATATTTTAATTAAGCCAAAAATTTAAATGATTAATTATATTTTATTAATCCAAAATTCAAATGATTAATTATATACATTGTATGTAGGGCTTTTTATATTTTAATTAAGCTAAAATTCAAATGATTAATTATATTTTAATTAATCCATAATTCAAATGATTAATTATGTACATTGTATATAGGCTTTTATATTTTAATTAAGCCAAAAATTCAAAATGTGCATGAATGAGACCTAAAAAAATTTAATTATCACTCATACTATTTATCTTATGTAAATCATCTTTCAAATGAATAATTTTACATAGTAAACAAAAATTTCAATCTCAAAATGTCTTCATCAAACAAAGGAAAAGAAAAAATTGCCCTTACACCTTTAAACCCACAAAAAAATAATTTTGATGATATTTCTTTATGGAATCACGTAAAAGTTATTAACTTGGCAAGTGGAGGAGGAGGAAGTATAATATGGTCTTGTAACTATTGTCACAAGAAAGTTACAGGATCATATTCTAAAGTGAAGGCTCACTTATTAAGGCTTCCAGGAAGCGGTGTCACCATTTGCAACTCAATTTCAGATGATATTGCTGTTGTTATAAAGAAAGAACATGAAGATGCAGAAAGGAAAAAGGCTAATAAATAAATACGAGCTAGAAGGCAAGCTGACTATTTGAGTTTGCCACCTGGCACGGATCTCTTGCAGTAGAAAAAAAGAAAACCGGTGCTCTAGAAATTGCGTTTAATGTTGCTGACAGAGACACTGGTGATAAGCTATCCGCAAGGATATTCTATGCATGTGTGTTTCCATTCAACCTTGTACGCAGCCCTCAATTCAGAAAATATTCATTGTTTTTGGCAAATAGCAAATTAACGGGCTATATACCTCCAAGTTATGATAGACTACGCACTACTTTTCTTGCGCAAGAGAAGGCACATATTAATGTAAAAGTTCATCATATCAAAGAAAGTTGGAACAAGAAAGGATTATTTATTTGTTCTGACGGTTGGTCTGATATACAGAGAAATTCGTTAATTAATATTATGGCAGCTTCTGAAAGTGGAGCATTGTTTCTTTCTTCCACAATGGAGAAGTGAAAGATGCTGAGTATGTAGCCAACACTTTTATCTGTGCAATCGAAGATGTTGGACCAAATAATGTCGTACAGGTCATCACGGACAATGCAAGTAACTACAAGGCAGCTGGTGGAATAATTGAGCTTAAGTATCCTCATATCTTTTTGACACCTTGTGTGGTCCATAGCTTGAATCTAGCCTTGAAAAGATGTGTGATCCTCCTGAAAACATAGGTGCATATGTTCATTGTGCTTGGATTTCTAAGTTGATTGTTGATTGTCAAAGCATCAAAAATTTTATTATGATTCACGACATGGCACATGCAATTTTTAACAACTATTCATCTTTAAAGTTGTTAAAAATTGCTGAAACTCGATTTGCATCTAGGATTATCTTGGCTGACCGTTTGAGCAAGGTAAGAAAGGCCTTGGATAGCATGATCATGGATAAAAGGTGGAAAACATACAAAGGAGATGGAAAGAATGTCGTTGATAGTAAAGCTCGTGAAGTGAAGCAATGCATTGTCGATGACCAGTGGTGGGATACGCTTGACTATCTATTGAATCTCACTAGACCTATCATAGATTTTATACGGGCTGCTGATACGGATTCTCCTATTCTTCATCTTGTATACGACATGTGGAATTCGATGATAGAGGAAATCAAAACTGTTGTTTTCAGGCACGAGGAGAAAGATTTGCTCGTTGGTCAATCAGCTTTTTTTTTATGCCTTTCACGAAATTCTGGAGGAGAGATTGAACAAAAGCAATACCTCGTTGCATTGCCTAGCACATTCCCTTGTACCAAAATATTATACCGATTCTTGGCTTAAAGATGGAGATGGTGTCCAAAGGTTGGCACCATATCAAGAAGTCTCAATGAATAGAGTGAAGTGTTTCAAGAGAATTTTTGAGGATCCAAATGATCTTAGAAAAATGTGTATGGAATATGGGGAATTTTCTAGTGCAACTGGATTATTTAGTGATTCTTTCATTTAAGAGGCAAGGGTGTTCAAAGAACCAATCTCGTGGTGGGCTAACTACGGATCGAGCGCAAAGTTATTGCAATCTTTGGCCTTCACATTACTTTCGCAGCCAGCATCGCCATCATGTTGTGAAAGAAATTGGAGTACATACTCACAGATCCAAATTTTCAAGAGGAACAAGCTAACGAGTTCAAGAGCCGAGGACTTGGTTTATGTCCATGCCAACGTGAGACTCTTGTCAAGGAAAAAGAATACATATAAGGAAGGACCTTCACGATATTGGGCATTTGTATGTTACTTTTATTTGAGTATTCTAAATTATTTACTCATATAATATGTTTTCAATCTTATTAATATTTCATTATTTTATAGGTGGAGACAAATTTGATATTGATGGAGATATGAACCAGCTAGCTGATCTATCCATCAATGAACCGGAAATAGAAATGATTACATTTGACGATTCTTTGGATGTGGAGAAGGACGGAAATGATGAGTAGAAAATTGAATTAAATGTTAATTTATTGTTTTTTTATCCTATTTCAATGTTGCATGAGCTGAATAATATATTTGTATTGGAATATTATTGCTTTTTTTTTTAATTCAATATTGCATTAATAATATATTTGTATTAAATTATTATGAATCTAAATTTGTAATGATCTATATTAAAATATTTAATTTTATTACATTGACTGTCGTACCCGCGTACCCGTGTCCAAGTTTGGGTACGTGCCCCCGAATCTTAACATTTAGAAATATAAATACCGGATACTTGAATATGTACCCGAGTCCATGTAACATAGGTTTTAGGCCGACAAAGGCGGGGTGGGAGGACGGCGAGATACTAGGCGGCAAAGATGAGATGGCTGGCGGCTTCCAGACAAGGCCGAGTGGCTTTTCTTACAAACGTGCTGGAACTCCATACTCTCCCAGAGGCTAAAACCAAGGGAGACCTCCCCATTCGTTTCCTCGAGGTTCCACATTTTTGCGTGTTTCCGATTTCATTCTCATGCAATTTGTTCTCTTTTTTCAATTATTCTTTCAAGAAAGATCTTACCTTGTTAATGTGGTTTTGGTGGCAGAGCAATAAGAGCCCGAGGGAGTTTGCGGACGAGCTGGCGAAAGAGGCGAATCAGTACAACGGGTTCAACCTCATAGTGGCGGATTTCGTCTCAAAATTCATGGTTTATGTGTCCAACCGGCCCAAAGGCGAGCCCGTCTCAATCCAGGAAGTTTGTCTGGGCATTCACGTCCTTTCAAACGCGACTCTCAACTCCCCTTGGCCTAAGGTAATCGAACACCACATTTCCTATATTTTTCAAATTTTCTTTCATTTTGTACTAAAAATAAAATATAATTCTCAGGCGGAGAGGCTTGAGCAGCGCTCAAGGAGGAGGTTGACAAGTACGGCCAAGAGGAAATCCCGTTGACCAAAATGGTCGGGAAGTTGATGAGGGACACGGTGAAAGCCGACAAAGGAAAGTTACCGAACATATGTTCCCCCCACTGGGAACTCGGGTTGAGCTCCATCTTTGTTGAAGTCGACTCTCAATCATCGATGGCTGATTTTTACACATTCATTACGGTTTTTCCTAATTTGTTCACTTGATCATGGGACAGGGGAAGTACGGGACTAGAAGCACGGCAGTCTTGACCGTGAAAGCATGTGGTGAAGCTAGCTTTTACGAGGTATACCTCGAGGGCGGCCAGTGGGAAGACCATACCTTGGATTACCATATTGAGAAACTGTGATTTTGCAGCTACAGAAAGGAAGAAGAAAAGGACTATATATAAGTTGTACTGTTCAAATATATTTCATCATTTCACACACAAAAAAAAAAAAAAAAAAA